TCTATCTATCTACCTGCATGTGAAAGCCAGACCTTGACAGACCTCTGAATCTGAGCAGAGAAGCCGTAATTTAACATGATATAATCACAGTACATTAAAAACAGCAACGGTACAATGCTTCAGTTGTTGCAGCAAAACAGAATTGTTTCTAATATGGATTTGCGAATATCGGGCGGATACTTTCATCTCTCTGGCAGAAGTCACCAAGGTTGTTAGCAGCCTCCTCGTGGAACAGCTCCGGGAGTGAATGGGATCTGTCCTGACTGTCTTAAGTCTCTGGATGGCTGACTTCTTGTCTTGACTGACTTCTCTGCAGCATCGTGTGGCGATCGGGGGAAGTGCCAATGGAGTAGCAGACCAGGTTGGGGGTAGTGCCAATGGAATAGCAAACCAGGTGGGTGGTACCGATTTACAAGAAGAGGGACCCACTCCTGGTAAGGTCTACTCCAAGGTATTGAAGAGGAGACTTCGACCAATGGTCGAATCTCAGACCTGCAATGTGCACTGACAATCCGCTCCAAATATTAGGCCATGGTGCTTCACCGTAAATAGGTGCCTTGCTCTCTCCAAGTGGGTGGAGAGGTCCCTCCTCAAGTGGACGAGTTCAAGTATCTCGTGGTCTTGTTCATGAGTGAGAGGAGACCCCGGGGATGACCCAGGACACTTTGGAGGGACCATGTCTTTCAGCTGGCAGGGGAACGTCTTGGAATTGCCCCGGATGAGCTGGAGGAGTATGTGGATAGGGACTGCTGCCCCATGAACAAATGGATGGATGGAGGATTTTAGCGATGTGAATCTGAAGCGACTCTGGGCACCAGCAGGAGGCTTGTCCCTGTGCTTTCCTCAGAGTTGGTTCATGAGAAACTAACATGTGATGGCTGTATTTTGGTGCGAGACTAAAGCACAATTTAATCTCTCACGTCCTAAACTCATTAGTTAATTTTAATAAAGTAAACTGAAAACTCGTGGAGAGAGGCATCTTGCTGAGGACGGTAAGATGGCGGTGGATGGATCATTTGTGTGTCATTAATGTTGTTACCAGAGACAATTAAATGAATCCAAAGCGTTACAGAAAGTTTCAGGATAATAAAAGACTAAAAGATGTGGATCTTTGAGACAGTGTTCACTTTTGATAGTGTGTGCTGCCGCTCTCCCCCTCAGCTCTCCCCCATGGCCCGCCCTCGCTCCTGCAGCAGCCTGAGTGTGGAGCAGGATAATGGACTGAAAACAACATCCACGGCCCTCTGGAGAGCACTGCGAAATCTGCTGTTTGGGCTCCTGTTTCCCCATCTGTCTCCCCTGTGTGCACCAGTCTCCACAAACATTTTATTTACTCTTTATCTGCTCTTATTCCTTATTTATACACTTTGTCACGTTGGATTTGAGTGTATTTTGTGCCGCTATGGTTTATGAAAACACTGCTTTTGTTACAGAGGCTGAATAATAACCACTCAAGAAAAGACGACATGACCAAAGCAGATAATCTGGGGTTACAGTGGCACGCTGCTGAGGGAATCTTCTCTTTCCATGGTTCTTTCAGACCGGCACAAACATTTCCCACCCCTTCTGTCTAAGAGCTCTTGTTTTCAAACTCATCATACAGAGTGAGTCTAGAAGACTCACTCTGTATGAGTATACAAAACATGTTAACCTTAGGTATACTTTGTTCATAATAACATGCGTTAAATCTTCAACAGTCTTACAGCCCCACCTCTCAGGAAAGTATTGTATGTGGCCATGTTCTCAGGGGGTAAGAGGAGAGAGCTGCGTCCCAACATTTAGAACCTCTTTCAGTAGATCTCCTTGAACTGAACCGAGTCACCCCAAACTCGAACACAAGAGCATCTGCAAGTCTGGGAGCCTCTTCAAGCCTGGCAGTAATGGATCCCACAACCACAGTCTTGGATGTGTCCTGTGGGCATGGTCATGTATCCATCTCATTTTGATTAACTGTGACATCACCTGCTCTGGGACTGCAGCTGTACATTAGCCCTCCTGCTATAACCTACAATGCATCTGTGCTTTTGTATAAAAAGACCCTGTAAGATAAAAATCATTAGTCAGGCTGGAACCACCGAGTGCCTCTGCTCAATTTAACATGAGGACTCCCAGATTTCTGAAAGGGCTAGAAATTCCTGAACATCATTTCGACTGTTCCTAATAAACTCAACTGATAATTTGAGCGAGAACAGTTTGTTGCTGTTGGGCAGCACAGCAGTGGTCAAGATAAGAGGAGATCACCTGTATTTGTCCCATAGTCGGGCACACATACAGGACAGTGGTAAGAGCACACACACATATACATATATACATATATACATTTTATATATATATAGTATATATATATATATATATATATATATATATATATATATATGTATGTATGTACAGTGCAGACCAAAAGTTTGGACACACTTTCTCATTCAATGAGGTTCCTTTCTTTTCATGACTGTTGCCTGTAGATCCACACCAGGCTGTGTAAGGGCTGTTTGACCAATAAGGAGAGTGAAGGTGCTGGGCCACATGACCTCCACAGTCACCGAACCTGAACCCAATCCAGATGGTTTTGGGGCTGGACCACAGAGTGAAGGGGCCAACAAGTGCTAAGCATCATGGGAAAAATAAAAAACTCTTGAGATGGGTGGGTGTGTCCAAACCTTTGGTCTGTACTATATTTATATTTGTATACAGCTGCTAAGCTGTATATGCAGCAAATCCCTTATAAGAGCAACAGGTGTACATTATATACATGTCTGGCAGGGTAATAAGTAGATTAAGTGACATTCAGTGGACATTCTGAAATTGCAGTATTGCATAGTGCACATGATTGCAGCATTTTCTATTTACAGATAAGATGACATGTACAGGCTCAGCAGTTCTCATGGCGCTGTTGTGCTTCACAGCAAGAAGGTCCTGTGTTCGATTCCACCTCCAGTCCTTTCTGTGTGGAGTTTGCATGCTCTGCCTGTGTAGGTTTCCTCCAGGTGCTTCAGTTTCCCCTAACACTGAAATCGTGAAAGTCGCTATATACTTCATAAAGATTACAAATTGTAAGGCGACCAAATGCTAATTGAATAGAGCGTTGCTAAGGTAACCAGCACTCGCTCTTCTTTTGTGGAAAACCAAGATCCAAGACCAGTCTAGCACCTCGAGAAAACAGGCTTTAACTGCCAGAGAATGTTGTCAAGCGACCGATCAATAGATCCAAACACAGGGAGCAGTCAAAACAAAGGCTCTGGTAGTTAAAGGTAGGATAATAATAAAATAATGACATTGAAATAAACTAAATATAGAGAGAGAAAAGGTCACAACATTATGAAGAGCACAAATGTACATGGGCAGTTTGTACCCTTTCAAAACTAAATGCCATCAAATTGACTGCTCTGGGAGTTCCAGTGTTAATTTCACACCTGCTGACGTTAGTTAGAGCAGACATGGAAACATCTCTGAGTATCCTGTAGTATAATAAATCCATCACCGGCTGGTTAACAAAAACTCTGGACATGGATGTGGACCACACAGACCAAGCCTTCTGTGTTTGGAGAGGCGGATGTGCGGTGATAAAAGCAAAGCTCTCAATTTACCGTCGATCTACATTCTCTCCCTCACCTCTGGTCATGGGTAATGCCTAAAAGGATGAAATCGCAGATACAAGCGGTTCACATGAGTTTCCTCTGCAGAGTGAAGCTGATTTAAATGTGGTCAAATGTGACAGAGGCCAAAAACTTATGCTTGTAAAAACCAGTGGGGGCGGGTCCCGGCTCAAAAGTGGCCAAAATGACGTGCGCTGACATGCTGCAATACCATCCCGGGCCGATGGGGGTGGACCCAGAAGAAGAATTAGCCAATGCTAACATATAGCATATGGCAGACCTCTCGAAAACGTCTTTACAGGATGGTCCAAAAGTTGGCTCTTGGCCCAAAGCTCCGTTCCACATGTGTGTCAATGCTGAGGGGGGTGATTTGGTCCACTCTAGTTTACTTGCTGTGAATTTTTCAAGTCTCTTGTTCAAATGAATGGAGCTTGCGCCATTGCTGACGCATGCGCAGATGCGTTTTTTCACAATTTTCTTGTGGGCGGGACCACCCGCTGCCATTTTGGATAGCTCCAGTAGAGGACATTTTTTGGCCCATTAGTTTGAACAGCGGAGATAGGCGTGACTACGTCCATTATGTATTTACAGTCTATGGTAAAAACAAGACCAAGATCAGGATCAGATCCAGACCAGTACCCGATCAGGACTAGATCCAGAGGCTTAAAACACATGCGTGTGAAAAACTTGAACTCGACCAGGACCAGACCAGCCCCAGATTCAGACTGGAAACCAGAAAATGAAGTAGTATTGGGTTCATTATATAGTTTTTTTTTTTTTGGCGGTTTGAAAGTTGGATTCCCAAGCTTTAAATCACGGTGTCTTTTTGGCTTTTACTTTTGCACCCACCGCTTCCCGCTGTCCGGCGCTCTCATTACAGCCATCCCATCCCCGAAGCAGGAGGCCCGGCCATGGAGCGGGAGGATGGGGGGGCTGGCTGCGCTCCAATTACTGCCAACGGCCCGCTCTAAATCCACAACTCCAATTACGGCCAGAGCAGAGGAGCTGTCACCACACCGCGCCGTTACATGGCTCTGCAAGGGATAACAAAGTCAAAGGCAATATGTGTCCCCGGGGCCCGGTGACTGGGGTAAAAATAGCAGCGTGGTGTAGGGCCCCAGACTGAGTCACTGCGGCGTGTGTCCTGCAAGGAAGAATGAACACTATTCACACGTTAGAGACGTCGTGTGTCAGGGACAGACCAGTGTCAAGTGGTCAGGGGCCAGTGGGGTCTTCATGTGTGAAAGGCTCAGCATTTTCATTCTACTGCTGGAGTGTGATGGAAGTGTTGAGAAGGACATGACATACAAAGCTGTGACAGGGTTCTGGATGGGAGAACAAATGATACTACATATTTTAGGTATTAATGAAGGTACTTGGCACTTCTTTGCTAGACAATAATTCAGCAAGAAGCCTCTGAGGAAGACGGAAGTATACGGTCAAAACATGTCTTTGCTAACTTACTATTGTCTGGAATGGAGGAACTAACGTACTATGTTCTGGTATAGAAGAACCAAACACCTTTATTTCTACTAAGAAGACAAGATGAACCTTCCAAAACAATTGTTGGTATTTTTTGATAATTCCCAAAGTTAATAAAGAAGAGTACTGGAAATATGCTGTGGAATAATGTAGTTAAAACACTGCTGTCCTACATGCGTCTGGTATTGAAGAACCAAAGATGGACCTTTCTAAACCAGTCCCTGTTCTGCAGCCTGAGTCATGGATCTACAGCCTGTCCGTCCGTGCGAGCGGATCCCACTTCTTTTTCCGACTGGGTTTCCGCAGGAGAGTCTAAGAACAGGGATGATCCAGGACATTTAAGGTTATAAATCAACATTCATGGACATTGTGCCTCCCGCTACCTATGGACCAAAGGCTACTACATGTTTGTTATTATGGCATTTGCTGTGTTTGAGTTGTTTGGTTATCTGTTGTTGAGAGTTCGACAAGTTTCTAAAGTCTTTCCGAGACGACTGCTGTTGTGATTTAGGGCTGAGACACAAATACATTTTATCAAATTGGATGTGTGGTAAATCTTATCTCTGCTGTAGCTGCTGTCTAGGGGTTGGCTCTGAAGACCGTAGTATGACACTTTCCTATTCACAGCTAAGGAACATCTACCTGAATCAGATTCCGAGAGCTGCAACAAAGCACACTTCTCCAGAGTAGGATTTAATTCACCCAAACTGCTTAATGTTTATATTTTTGAACATAAACGTCAGCACACGATATGCTTTGCTTTCTGCGGCTCCACAAAGCACTCTCCTGAACGCTCCTGATGTATGAGACTCCTAACGGCATTTGAAGTACAGCACTTACGCACAGAATATATTTAAAACGTCCTGATGTAAGTGTCTTTCCAAAAATACAGGAGTGAAATAAACGGTTGTGTGAAGAAAGCTAAGTCTGGTCATTAGCATTTCCCCATCAGAACTGCACGGCTCTGTCTGCCACGGCCCAGGGAGCACCATTGTTATCAAATCCATCCTGAGCGTTTTCCTGTGCATCACGGCGTTATTGCTCGCTCTCCTTTTATAACTCCTTTGTGGGCTTTTATTTGTCCTTTGAGGCTCATAAGCAATCCACGCGGTGATTGATGCCTTCATTTTTCCCTTCCTCCCGGCAGCGAGCGCGCACGCAACCGCTCGTTTTAATATTGCGCAAGCATTCAGTTTGCAACAATAAGATCGTTTAATGACGCCAATATGGGAGTAAAGAGTCTGCCCCGCTTTGTCTGAGCGGCTTTATGAAGGAGATTCCAGGGAGTTGGTGGAAACAGGAAATGGAGTGTAGCTGGGTTATTGCTAATGGTCACCCAAACAGCACTTTCCAGCTCCAAGTGTGTGGTCATTCAGCAGTTATGGCTCCACGCTGAACGCGGATGGAAAGTAGTTTTGTCTTGGCCGCGTCAGCCCAGTGCTCTTGTCTCTCACTAGCTTCAACTGTTCCATTATGCTTTTCTTAAGGACTGTAATTGCTTGGTGGAGAGTCTGTAATATTCTCTTCTCCATTGAGATATGTACGTCCAAGACTGGAAATATCAGCGAGAAATTGCCATGGAAACTAGTGCTTAGCCTTGGTTTACAATATCTAAAGCAGGGGTCTCCAACCTTTTACAATCCGAGAGCTACTTTTATGCAACAAAAAAGACAGAGAGCTACTCCTTTTTATAGCAGCTCCAGCTTCTGTTTGAAAATGACACTTTCTGGTATATTACGTTAATATCCTGCTTTGAAAACATTTGTTAAACTTGTCATAGTGTTTGGTAGTGTATTGCACGTATGTGTGTGCTATTTATATTTAGTTTAAGTCTTTGGATCGGAGAAGAATACACTGGGAAAAAGCGTGCCTTGAGACGGGCAGTATCTGCGCCTCACCGATGGGGGCGATAGTGAGCATGAAGTTTATTGACCAGATGAATCGACGTCAACCAGTCACGTGATTGTGAAGGAGCTTAAGGCAGGAGTAGTGGAAACTAGCATTGAGGCGAGAGCAAAACGGACTACAACTCTTAAAAACTGAGACTCCTCTCCTAAATCGAGACGTGGCTTCGTCAAGCACATGTTCAATTACGTTTTGGTGGAAGTAGGACATCAGGTCAGGGATCACAAAGAGTGGTATTTGGAGAAGTGAAGGGTGGCTGAGCTGGATGTTGACTCTTACCTTCACCCCTCGGTCAATTTCAACGATTAAATTAAATGTCCTATATTTTGCCCGAGTTCACCCCACATGATCTTTATCATTATCGTTAACAATGCATCTCCTCACACTGGAGCAGATTTATATGCACATTTTGCTGGTAGCATTAGCGCATTTGCAATGCACTTTTCTGTCTACAGCCAAACATGATACATATTGACAGAGAGGAAAACAGTGAAAAACGCAACTGACGTCTAAGATAAGAGATCTTTTATTTGTGCCACAGTGAGGAAATGTCAATGTTGCAGCATACATACAGGACAGCAGTAGCACACGTTTGACTTCAAGCGTTTGTTGTGTCAAGAGAATGAATACAAAATTGTGATTGATTTATCTTGTAAAAAGTGTATGTAGTGGTACACCTGTTTTGTGAGCGCTCCTATCAGCGCTCTGGCTTGTAGTATTTAAGGACAGCCCTCCCCCGTACACCCCTGTTTTGCCTCGCCTCTGACGTCGCGACGCTGTTCGCTGGTGGCGTCCGAAGCACATGTTGCTTTAGATCCAGCCTTTACATCGGCTTGGTGACTCAGCGGGCACGCTTCTTTCAATCTGCGTCTCGATTGTCTGTGATCCCGGCACAGCCGTGGAGTGGGGACAGAGCGCGGTTATTGCGCAACCCCTCCGCAGGTGCAGCGCTCTGCTCTGTTTGAGCCGCGGGCAGGCACCCTTTACCGAATACACAGTCCACTTGTAATACCGGGCTCGTGTGTGCGCGCATCTTGGGCCTCTGGCTCCTGGTGACTTATGTGCGGGCTCCTTGGAGAGCTACATTTCTGAGCGAGTCTCCCCTTCTGGTACCCGGAGAAACACGACACCCTCGCTGCTGCATCACGGGCTATTCAAGCTCCGCGGGTACAGGCCCACATCCATCGGACTCCCCTCAGTGCGGGGCCACGGAGGCGCGTGGGTCCGATTGGAGGCGCTTGGGCCGAGAACGTGCTGGAACCCTAGGGGACTGCTGCTGCTGAGTGGAACAATGGCTTATTAGTGAGGCCAATTGATAACACTGAGTTTACATTCTACAGTGAGAGTGGAGAGTCCGGCGTCGTGGAATGAACTACAGAAATTGTCCTTTTTAAAATTGTCAAATAAATTGTATTTTGTACTACATTGCCTCCTGTCCACGTCAGTCCACGAACCTATGTGCCTTTTCCAATTTATCTTTAACGGGTCCCAGTTCCCATATACTGGGTGGCGTTGCTGGTAATATTTCTACTTAATTAGGCCAAACTTCCAAATTCATAGTATCAACCACTACATGTACTTGGATGGCTCCCGGTCCTTTTGGTTGATTGCCGCCATCGTTGTCTTCTGTCTTCATGACGAGCAGGTATCAGATAAAAAGACACATTTGGCTTATGTCCTTGCCTGTAAGTACAACCAACCGCACTGGCAAATATCACAGTTTTGGCTGTTATTCGTTGAAACAGGTTTTTTTGGTAAAGTTTCCGAAGGCTCGCAGTTAGATTTCCGCCATCTGTCATGGAGAGTGGGCGTGGCCGGGATGACACATGCAAGGGGTCAATACCTGAGTTGCAAACAACCGGTCCTATCGGTGCTTTTTTTGGAATTACAAGGTTAGTCCGACCGAGGGGAGGAATCTCTCTCTCTCTCTCTCTCTCAAAGCTGCTTCTCTCATCTTTACAGTATATGAAGTTACATTGGCGATTTAATGCTATTTTATTAGAACAATAAAATAGCATTAAAACAAAACCGCACATCACTGGTAATACTGCATGTTCAAATGTTATGTCCTGTCTGGAATCATTGTGTGTTGTATTGTTTTCACTTCAATGTTTACATGTTTGAAGGTGGTAGATGGACTGAATGCTGTTTAAAGAGACCCTAATTATGTTGTGACGGCCAGGGAACAGTTGTGTGTCCTGGGAATCTACTGAAACAAGATGCTGCAATATAATTGTCATGAGGGCAGTTTTGGTTCTCCTCCCTCCCCCTGTGTCTCTCCCCCTCCACTTCCTTGTGTGTCTGTGAGTCTCCTCCCCCATTGCAGGTGAGCTGGTGCCTGCTGGGAGGAGAGCTCACCTGTCTCCCATCAGCCCAATTGGGGATCATATTTCCCTTGCCTACGGTAGAAGCAAAGAAATTAAAATCTGAGAAACACTTTTTATTGGACTTTGTTTCAACGCTTTTTTGTATTTCCGCAGGTGGAGGACCGGTTTGCCCTTTGTTTTACCTGGAGCTTGTTTGACTTCGTTTTATCATTTTTTGTTGCTCCAGTGTTTTTTGTTGATTAAATGAACTTGTTGTTCCTTGGGTCTGCGTTTGGATTCATTTAATTTAAATCATAACAGTAATGACACTATAAAAGTTATCTATGGGACAAACAAATTCATTTCTTATTCAAAACTACTACTTTGCTGCAGAACCCCATTAAATCCCACTCTGTGTCTTTTAGGAGACACTGAAAATATAAACCTCCCAAATAAACATCATAACTTCCTCCTCAACTCTCTAACAATCGCTAATCGCTATTTCTTACTGTGGAACGAATAAAGGATCTCTTAATCTTAATCTCAGAAGCTCATGAGATGTGCGGGTGCTGATGCTGGCACCGTCCACACACAGATAGTGGATCTACAGCCTCAGTCCTGGATCTACAGCCTCAGTCCTGGGTCTACAGCCTCAGTCCTGGATCTACAGCCTCAGTCCCGGATCTACAGCCTCAGTCCTGGATCTACAGCCTCAGTCCTGGATCTACAGCCTCAGTCCCGGATCTACAGCCTCAGTCCTGGATCTACAGCCTCAGTCCTGGGTCTACAGCCTCAGTCCTGGATCTACAGCCTCAGTCCTGGATCTACAGCCTCAGTCCTGGATCTACAGCCTCAGTCCTGGGTCTACAGCCTCAGACCTGGATCCACAGCCTCAGTCCTGGGTCTACAGCCTCAGTCCTGGATCTGCAGCAATGATCCGAAACATTTATGACCATTTCTAGACATTGATCATCCCGCCCCATGGAGATAATCCTCCCCGTTTTCTTGAGGGGATTATTTGGGGGGAAATCGGTATGATTCAGGCGAGTCCGGTCCAGGCGAGTCCATCACACCTCATCATTGCGGCCCATCATCCGTGTGCAGGGGTTTGTCTTGGTTCTGTCCTCCACGGCTCGGTTCTGTCCCTCGTTGCGTGGCCTGGTTCTGAAGTGGAGAAACGTCCTTGTGGCGTATATGCAATGCAAGGTAATGAGTCCAGCAGAGTGGTTCTATTTCCACTGAATATATTCAACTCTGGTTTGAAATATTCTGAAGATAACTTCCTATTAAACTTACAAAGAAACATTATTTTGCAAAGTCATCACAGAAAATGTAGCCTTGTGGAAAAAGCACTTTTGAAGCACTTTTGTGTAGCCCTAACCTTTTCCGCCTGTGCTCCCAACTACCCCGGACTGACTTGGGCGTTTGCAGATGACTTCCTCTGACATTTGTTCAGTTAAAGACAGCGTACATCAGCACCAGGCTCACTCTGAACCTTGTGTCTGCTGCACTCCCACAATGAGGAGTCTATCACAGAGGCTGACAGCCAAATGGAGGACAAATTGCAGCAGAAAAAAAGCATGTTGTGAATGTGAAATAAGCTCTTAATGGAGCCCCTGTCCAAACGATGTCTGTTGCGTTGTATTAAAAGCATTTTCTCTTCTCTCTCTAATATCTGTTGTGAAGGTGACGACGGTGTGTGCTCCTTTTGATGATGTGAAATACAGATACAGATGTTTATGGATGAAAGAAGACGTCAGATTTCATTTAAAGGACACACATTATTGAACCCATTGTTTGTGTATCGTCCTAAATCGCACACAACACATAGAAGGCGGTCGATAGGGAGCGGGGATGACCACTGTCCAGAAATGTAGAGAAATTACTTTTTTCGGTAACGAGTAATCTAACTAATTACTTTGACTGTAACTATAACGCCGTTAGCATTTCCGACATCCCGTTACTGCGCGTTACTCATGACGCACAATGAACTTCTCTTTTTACTTCATGATAGGACCCGTGCGTGTGTTGTCATGAGAGAAGGGAGGATGAGAAAACCTCTCAGATATTATTGGCTGATGTAAAACATATTTCCTTTACAATCTACATGTCTACAGTTGAGAGGATGGCTCATAAATTATGTTTTTGAAACAAATATGGGTCTTAATCGCGCTCAACTACGGCTTGTATCACCGTGATGCCTCAGAGGAGCTCATGTGAGCGCAGAAGTCGGCTGCATACAATTCCATCGATAAGGTCCTTTCTCTTCCTGGTTTATCTGCTAAGGACAGCAGCAGGTTTGGCTAACATACATATAACACATTTTAAGATAATTTAAAATGTACTTAGGGTAATTTTTCAATGACTTTAGGAATGATAAGAAAGAGAGGTGAAGTGTAAGACGGTTGGTTTTAGAAATTGGATGCACCCGGCTGCAGCAAAACAGAGGAGTTTATGGAGGACACACGCGTTTTGTTTTACTTTTTAAAACTCATTGGACTCATTTCCAAATGGAGGATTACATATCTACGCTCAAACTATTATCTGGACTTAAACACGGAACTGGTCTGAACCGAAGTGGACTGTGCAGGTCATTTATAAGGTAAGACCCATAACTCATAATTTTGCGTTTTGTATGAACAAACCATGCGGGCATGAAATATATTCTGCTGTAGCCAAACAAACTGTCCACTTGATTTATATATGATATGATATATGTTCATCTGATTGGGCTGAAGTCAGTGCTTCACCGGTGTTTCCACATTCACAGTGGCGGGTGTTGGTGTTTAGTGCTTACAGCACAGAGAGAGATGAAGAGTGAACAGGACTTCAGCAGCAAAACAGACTTTTCTAGATGGAAATATTGGCACTATTTCAAACTCACTGAGGTTAAAGGTTAAAGGTAAAACTGCGCACGTCGAGTGCACATTATGTTCCAGAACAAAACGAAAAAGTAACACAATAGTTACTTTTACTGGTAACTAGTTACTTTTACAGTGGAGTAACTCAGTTATTTTTTGGGAGAAGTAACTAGTAACTATAACTAATTACTTTTTCAAAGTAACGTGCCCAACACTGCTTATAGGTCACCTCATGGCACCAATCATCAAAAACACATGCCCTTATGTATAAAGCAGGCATTTCCAAACTAAGGCCCGTGGGCCAATAGCGGCCCTTTGTGGCATTTCATGTGCCCCAATAAAAGTAGCTATTGAGATATTTTTACAGTGTCATCCAGCCAACTTCAGTTCTGCCAACAAAAACATGTTACACCTCGTTGTGAAGTTCAGGATCTCTGGAATCCAGTGTCTCCTGGACCAGACCCAGGTTTAAACCCGGTCTCACCGCGGGGGTTTGCTGAGCACAGGCTAAACTCTGAGGACAGCGCTGATGTCTCAGTATTGTGATTCCTCTCACAGCTGCTTTAGCCTCCACCACAGAGCTGATGTCGAGGTCACTGCTCTCAGCTGCGGGAAAGAGGCTCTGTGTCTTTACAGTTTAGAAGTCCATTTATGTGATGTCACTGTGAACATGGTCACATCAAAGTCTGTACAAGCTCTGGTCAGAATGCCGATCAAGTTGACAACCAGAGGATTTCAGATGGAGGTAATAAAATCATTGAATATGAGGAATTTTCACACTGGTTCAAAAATGGTCTGCCTCAGGTCCATAATTTCATGCTCTCAGAATGAGCAGTGTCCAGTTTAAGAGCAGGACCAGGTCTGACTGGGGCCCGGTTGAAGTGTAGGCTTAAACACACCTAACGACACGGCCAACATGCAAAAGAAAATGAATCCAATACTGTATTTGTTCAAACACACAAGTTTCATTTTAAGTTTGATGTGTTTGGTCAAATAGCTGCAGTAGTATTGTTTAGAGGAGCAAGCAGGTGATGATGGGTAATCAGGTGTAATAGCACTATCCTCTCCTCTTCCTACTGTGTCAGTTATCAGCTGTAGTCTGTTCATTACTATTCACCCACTGTCCCAAAACATGTCGTGAGGATGGGACCCCTGAATCTGGCCTCTCTTTAGGCTGCAACCCCTCCCTGCCTGGGAGCCTCCTCAGTCCTGGATCTACAGCTTTAGCCTCCTTAATGTTTTTTTTTTCTTCGTTCCTTGAGGATGCAGGAGGGAACAGTGATGATCCGGGCCATTTATGCACTCATGCATTTATGAACATTTCACAGAGGTCATCCCACTCCCGATGGCCCGGTGGATCCTACATGTTTATTATTATTGCATTCCCTGAGTTTAAACGGTTTGATTGACACGACTGCTATTGTGATTTAGGACTATCCACCCATCCATTTTATTCCCCTTAATCCATTTCTGGGTCAAGGGGATGGCAGTCAGAGCTGAACCCATTTCACAAAGCACCAGACCCTCACTGATCCTCCTGCAGGTGGTGAATCCACAGCAGGAATATTCAGACTATGCAAAAATACATGTAATTGAATTGAGTTAATAATATAAATGATTATCATATGCTGAAATCGTTCTAGAGAGAAACGTGTGTAACAGACAAAGTTAAATGTCCTGGTTTACTTCTGCAGTGTGGAGCGCACACGTCCAGAAGCAGCTCAGGTCAGCAAAAAACGTGGCCACAGACGAACACACACCACACACTGCTATCAAGGCTTAAAGGCACATTACGGCTCTGGGCCATGAATCAAGGAGTGCGGCGCCACTTCTTCACCATTAGTAGAAGCTAAAGGTCACCATTTAACAGCCAGCCAATTTATTTTAGCAAATACCAAGTCGTTATGAGGTGCTATTTCCGAGCACAATGCTTTGACAAGGAGTCCGATTTAGAGAGTGCGACAGTCACCTCTGAACTGACTTATGGCAGCTGGAGTGGAACAACTATTTACTGATCAGACCATTATTTGCAGAACCTTTTAGATCCGCGTCAAGGGAACACAAAATATGTAGCTGCCCTTTTCGCTTGAAAGCCCTCTTTTGAAATGTCTTTGTATGTGTAATGGGAAATAAGTTCTGAGATCAAGCAGTTTCCTCCAGCATTTTTCCACTGCATTGTCTTTAACAATATTGATAACAATAATGCAAAGTACTTACATTCAACATAAATAATGGCTACTGTAATCTAATCTAATCTGTTTTTGGCCCCAATCACTGGTCACTCACACGAACAGACTCACAATCCCTACTCTATAAGTTTCTTCAGAGATTTGATGTCTGTCAGCGGACCAATATCTGACCCTTACGTCCAGTCAAGTTCAGTTATACTTTAACCACCCCATAGGGAAATGTTTCCTCTACAATTGACTTATCCTTCATTGCCACTAGGGGAGGAGCAGTGCTAAGTGCACCTGGAGGAAACCTACGCAGACACAGGGAGAACATACAAACGCAACTCTAAAAGGCCCTTTTTGAACCCAGGACCTTCTTGCTGAGAAGCAAGAATGCTGTCCACTCAGCCTCTGTGTCACTGTCAGATAGGAGAATGCCCGATGCTGTGTTTGCTGATTACCTGATGCTCATTTAGAGACCACTGCATTCCTAGCTCGCCCCTTTCTGTACGCACTGAGTGAGGCTTGAGGTTTAGACTGTTGCGATCATTGACCATTCCCAACCACATGTGGACACCCACGTGGTCCGTAAAGCCATGTCTTTAGTTTGAACTGAGAGGACATGGACTGAGTGTGGTCCCGTCTCTGTTTGGTCGGTGTTGTTGGGTTCTCTTCGGGGGAGGCAGCTACACACTGGGCTGTAGTTTGTTCTTTACGTTTTTTATTGCTACGTTGACGAGGGGGAGAGCCTTTTGTTACTTCTGTGATACACTGATTCCATCCCTGCTGGGAGTACATCCGTCTCCACTGTCTTTGTATGGTTGTCTACTAGCTACGTCTTTATAGGGTGTTAACACCTCACGACAAAGACATAGTTACCTGGTTATCTCTAGTTCTCTGATTGTGTGCCCGGCAATCCTGTTCTCTTTTGCATTTTCCAGACTGAACAGTTCAAGGAACAGGGGCTCATATTGACATCTGGGAGAGGCCTAGGCATCACCTGACAGGAGCGGTAGGTTTTTGTAATCTCAGTAGAGGCAATGCCTATAGTTCATAGGTAACTCTGCTTCCGTGGTCTCAAAACAGTTTTCTATCACACGTCTTCACATGCATGTATTTTTGACTTCTATCACATCTTTAAGAGAGATTTACATTTTTCCAGCCCTTAATCAGTCAATCAGCTCTCAGTAGCAAAACCCTTTCTATGCTGATTTAACCTGATAGTGGTCAAATCATCCTTCTGTGGGAACGAAGAAAAAGTATTTATGAAACATGCTTTAAGGCTCAAGAGTGTAATCCTTTTTACAAAGTGAATTTAAACTTTCAATATACATGAAGAAATGTTTGACTTTTCCTTTCCACTTTATCTTTACAAGTTAAATTCAAACCAAAGATTACACCAGATTACTGCTTCTGCACATCTTACTGCTCTCCACTGACCGAGACCAAGGGCCATTCACCCGACACAAGCTCTAACGACTGTGTCAAAGCCAAAGAAGCCGTTGTAAAACCCTGCTCGTCCAATCACGTCCTGTCTTTCCCAGCTCTTCCCGTGCGCCTCTGGTGGTGTTAGCGAACACGAAGCAAGCAGCAGGACAGCGCTGATAAGAGGTCTCCGATAAGTGAACAAATGCAGCAACAACATCTCCTGATCTGAAGAGAGCTGCTGAGTTTAAGAGAAGCAAACCCCCACTGTGCACGCTTACACACTCGCACACCCACACACACACACAGACACACACGTGCACAGCTGAACTGCCATGAGGACAGATGTGCAAATGAAGTCATGAAAAATAACAGCTCGAGGGAGATTATCCCGAGTGTGGTTTTACAAAACTGCAGTCGTTCATTTAAAAAAAAACAGATAATATGCACACTCAGAGAACACATAGAACAAAGTTTGACTTATCTTTTTTAAGTTAATAAAGTGGAGTGTCTAACAGATTCTTCCATGCTTTGATTTAGCCATTTCTCTACAGGAAATGTGTGAAAATGTTCCACCCACAGAAGAGGCAGAAAAGGAGACAGTGCAAGTCCTTGCGACCCAAGATGTCTGCCAAACAAACTAATGGTTCTTCTTCTTCTTCTTCTTGTGAGCGTTCTGACCCAACCCTTACGTAAGCGTTTAGAAGGAGACGTCAACGTGCACATGCCGATCAGAGCGGAACAGAGCGAGCCCAGACGTATAGATTTATAGAAAACCGATGGATTTCAAAAGAAAGCAAATACAATACAATCCCCACAAAAGTAGTAAGTAGTAAGTAATCTTTATTTATATACCGCCTTTTCACTACAGATCAGAGTCTCAAAGCAGTTTACAATTGTTATTTTTGGGCATTAATCTCTCACTCCACGCAGAGATGGGAGCGTGGTCGCCAGTACAGGAGGCACATGCCATACCTATTGTACATATTTTTAGTGGTAGGGGAAACCGGAGTACCCGGAGGAAACCTACGCAGACACGGGGAGAACATGCAAACTCCACTCAGAAAGGCCCTGGTCTAACCGGGATTCAAACCCAGAACCTTCTTGCTGAGAGGCAAGAGCGCTATCCACTCTGCCACCGTGCCGCGCCACAAAACTGACCTTTGAGAAAGCTGTAAGTTCGATCAAGCTGAGGGCAAGTTGCTTTGTTACACTGTATGAGAACCATTCCAGGGTAGTTCTGGTGAAATGAGTCTGAGGGAGTGCGGGTGGTCTACTCACTAAAGCAGCAATACTCTATCCAGATAATGAAATACATTTGTCATAAGGCACTTTAATGACCTGCACTAGGACTGAAAAAACTCACACTGCTGTAGTCACTTTTTCAGTTTTTTATATATCTTGCACAAAAGAGACTATATTTTTAACCTTTTTTTGCACAACCTGTGTGGTTCTATCAAATGTGACATGTAAATATCTTCATTGTGAAATCAATAACGTTTATTTTATCCATGATACGGTGTCATTACGTACCACCAAATCTGTCGAAAAATCAACCTCACACAGTCGGGATGTTTCTTTCAGTTTGTTTCGGACAGAAAAAAGTCAGGATATGGTTTATATAGTCAATGTTACGTCACACATCAAAAGACATACGTGTCACGTCTAGAGATAATCGAAAGAACATAACACGAACACACAATCGTAGCAAGTACACAATCGGAGTCGTTGTGCCCTAAACAAGGCCAGACCACTTGTATAGCTATCTATTTCTGATAACACCTAAACTGGTTCTAACATGATTCCATAAATATACATTGTCAAGAGTAAACATGGGCGTTGACAGCAAATGGACGATGGAATCAAGCAGAGGATTCCCCGTCACGTTTCAGGATCTAACCAGAGCATGGAGATAACCCATCCAGACACAGGGAGAACATGCCTAGTCAAAATGGAATGGCCTGGTACGGATTCAAACCATCACTTTCTCTCTCTGAGGAAGGAGTTCTGTCTTCACAATATAGTTTCTCTGTAGCCCCATGCATCTTTCAAATACGTAATTATTATGAGGTAAAACTGGTTGAATTGAAAAGAGTCATCTCTGAAGGAAAACGCAGAGAGATTTGCGTCGGAGCGTTGGCCTTGGAGCGCCTGACTCAGCCGCTGTGAGCCGGGTGCCTGAATAGCAGCTGCAGAGTGCCGCAGCAGACAGGAAGGTGACGGCAGGATATGTTTTGTGGACGCATCCTGAGCTCCGGAGGCGTGGGGAAGTGTGGAGTCGTCATCACCACAGGTCGGGACAAACACTGCCTCTGAGCCCACACTGCAGCGGCAGCACGTGACCGACACGCAATCAAGGACTGTTATAATGAGCTTCAAGTCGAGGATTAATACATTTGGCACAAACCATTTACCCGGAGGTAGTCAGTGAGGTAGTCAGTGAGGTAGTCAGGAGGAGTGCCAGGAGATGGTGGTTGGTACTCATCCCATTTGTCGCGTGGTTCTTAATCAAGAATTTATACGTGCTTCTATTTAATGCAGACGTTTAGATCGGCCCAGATAATCTGCTCTCAGCCCAAAAAGTCAAATAACAACTAACAGGGCTCTCTCTCTTAAAGTAATATTTTCATGTCAAGTCATCATTGAATGGCCCAAATCTGTCAAAAGGCATTAATAAACTCTGGTCTTATACTGTACTTTTACTGATGACAGTAGTTCAGCCGAGATATTGAAAATAAATACATTTTACCCGTTAATTTCACCACTTACCTTCACCGGGTCAGCAGCAGCGACTCGAGCCTGCTCCTCTCGCCGCTCCAGCGTCTCCGTGCACACAGCGTGGGTTGCCCGGAGCTGGGAATCAACATCCCCACTCCTCTCCATGTGTTCAGCAGCGCCCTGGTTCGGACCCATCCCTGGATGAGCCCGCTGGTTCTGGCCATGGACACCGAGCGCCCTCTCCGCGGCCGCGTCCACTCTTCGCCCCGACTACTCTGATTGTTGGAGATTCCATCGTGAGGCACGTCCGCTTTTTTAACGCGGTCACTCACTGCATTACCGGAGCTACTGTCCCAGATCTGCTCATCCGTCTCCCTCCTCTGCTTCACTCCCTGCCCGATACCATATCCAAGGTAATCGTGCATGTGGGTATAAATGATATGAAGCTGCAGCAGTCAGAGGTCACAAAGAAGCACTTTATGGATCTGTTCCGCCTCCTCCAGTCCTCCGGGTTATCCGTTTTTATTTCTGGTCCAGTCCCGACTGTAAACCGGGGTGACTGCCTCTACAGTCGCGTTGTGGCGCTCAACATGTGGCTCCAGTCTACATGCAGCACTTTTAACTTTATTTTTGTGAACAACTTTGGCCTGTTCTGGAAGCGTCACGTGGCCTATACGTCCAGATGGTCTGCACCCGAACAGATACGGCACCAGTTTGTTGACGGACTTCCTACGCCATGTTGTTCAGTGCTCCCCGAGGGGGGCGTGACTGTTTACATCTGAGGCTTCTCGGCCCCCACCACCCCCCTCCTCCTCCTTACCAGCACCGGGTGAGTACTGTGATGCAAACACTGACCCCTGTCCGTCTGGCAGTGTAACGACAGTCCTGCCACTGAACTGTGCTGACTCAGTTATGCATCTGGAACAAAGTACAACAGAGTTCACTTTTTAAACCAATAGAGACTGTGTGTGTTCCTCGCACCAGCTCAGAAATGTGTTTTAACTTGAATAAACACAAATTTAAAAGAAGGACAGCAGTTAGACGGTCCAACTCTGGAAATCTAATTCCAGTTCTTTGTAATCAATCAACTAAACCCACTGACACTGATATTAATTTTAACCTTGCTCTACTTAATGTCAGATCACTATGCAACAAATCATTTTTAATTAATAATTTTATCTGTTCGTATGATCTTGATTTTATGTTTATGACTGAAACATGGCTTGACCATAATACAGGAGATGCAGTTTTAATAGAAGCCTCACCACCAAATTTCAAATTTGAATATGAAACACGAGAAAATAAAAGGGGGGGGGGGGCATAGCAGCAGTTTTTAAAGATCGTATTGTCTCCCATAGAGTGTCTCTTGGGAAATTTTCATCATTTGAGTATGTTTCTTTTAAAATAGAACAAAAGAAATCTTCTTCCATTCTTATTATTGTTGTGTACAAGCCGCCACAGTCATGCCATAGTTTCACTGATCATTTCACTGAGTTTCTTTCAGTTGTGTGCACAGATTTTGATGGTTTAGTCATTATAGGTGATTTCAATATACATGTAGATAATGCTAATGATGGATATGCAATAGAGCTGAGCTCTGTGCTGGAAACCTTTGGTCTCACTCAGCATGTGAGTGGCCCCACCCACAGCAGAGGACACACTCTCGATCTGTTAATTACCAAGGGGGTTAATATTTCAAATGTAAATGTGGTCAATGTTGCTCTGTCTGATCATTTCTGTGTATTTTTTGACATGTGTCTCGATTGTAAACCACCAGCTGAATCTTCGGTTGTTAGAAGAAGACACATAAATGATAATACAGGCGAACTGTTCATGGGGAGGGTAAACTTTGAGAACACGTTGTGTGTTACTGTAGATGAATTACTTGACTCTGTCACCACCACTGTTTTGAATGTTCTGGATACAATTGCTCCTGTAAAGGTTAAAATAGTTACAAACAAGCAAAAAGCGCCATGGACTAAAGCAGACTCGGTCAGGGCACAGAAGAGGGCACAGAAGAGAGAGTGCCGGAATGCGTTGTGCAATTTTAACAGCCGAGAACAAGGGAAATGTACTTTTCTGAGAAGGCTGTAGCAACAATGTTTTCAACAGCGAAAGTCAAATCTAAATGTCTCAAAGTTGATCACATAGAAGCCAGTGAGGCTTTTTGGGCTGAAACTAAAATTGAAACTGTCCAGGAGATAATCACACCTCCTAGATTTCTCAAGTCAGTTCTGAGCAGTCTTTTACCTTCACTTACACAAATAGTTAATATGTCTCTTGAATCTGGAACATTCCCAATGACGCAGGAAAAAAGTCCTATCAACAACTTACAGTCCTTTTCAGTCCTTTTTCTGTTAGATTTAAGTGCTGCTTTTGACACTATTGATCATGGCATCCTCATTCAGAGACTTGAGGACTGGGTTGGTGTTGCTGGCACCGCCCTAAGCTGGTTTAGGTCCTATTTACAAGACAGAAAGTTTTTTGTGGAGATCGAAAACTGTACCTCAGACCACTTGGCCCTGACCTGCGGAGTGCCACAGGGGTCAATCCTGGGTCCTCTTCTGTTTAATATTTACATGTTGCCTCTAGGTCAGTTGATTCACAGTAATAATGTCTCTTATCACAATTACGCTGACGATACTCAGGTCTATGTGTCCCTGACAGCAGGAGAGCATGAACCAGTGGACTCGCTCCTTCACTGTGTCCAGCAAATCGGTGATTGGATGCAAAATAACTTTCTCCAACTAAACACCGACAAAACTGAAATAATTGTTTTCGGACCCCAGAAACAAAGAGAGAGCGTTATTTGTCACCTCCAGGCTCTCTCTCTACAACCCTCAAATCAGGTCAGAAATCTAGGAGTGATAATGGACTCAGACTTAAATTTCAAAAGCCACATAAAATCTGTAACATCAGCAGCTTATTACCACCTAAAAAACATTGCTAAAATTAAAAACATAGTGTCTAAGGCAGACTTGGAGACTCTTATACACGCTTTTGTCTCC